GCGGGAGGGGCTTGGTGGCCTCAGAGGCACAACAAAGGTCTGAGATGGACAGGGCAGCATTCAAGGGGTGGCCTGAGGTGAGTGACTTCACCTCTCTGGGCCTCTGTTTCCCTGTCTAAACGGTGGGATGTGAAGATCTGGTGAGATGCAGAGGCCAGTGGTACTGTAGACCTGAGGCACTACCCGGCTAATCTTCACTTCAGGAGGCCACCTGGGGCAGACATGAGGTTCACAGCCAGCCCCACCCAGGGCCCTGTGCTTACCCAAGACTGGCCTGTGGCCCTCCTGCCTCCTGGCCTCCAGGTCTGAGCTGGGTGATGGTCAGCGACCCTGGCTTAGATGCAGAGGGTTTCAGGAGCTGTGCTTGGTCAGACCTCTCAGCTGGCTGGGGCCCTGGGCGCTTCCTTTAGGCCCGGGCTGGGGTACTGCCACCAGGAAGGAGGCTGAGGACTCAAGGGCTCATTAGGATGCTGGTGTCATGGGTCGGAGACTTGGAGCAGTCCCTCCAGCCAGTGCCAGTCATGCCTACAGCTTGTCCCAGCTTCTCAACAGCCCTCTGCAGAGGCAGCCCCAACCTCACTTTATACTGGAGGAAACTGAGGCCCAGAGGGTGGCTCAAGACTTGCCCCCGATCACACAGCAGGTTGGGGGCAGAGCTCAGGCTTCCTGCTGCCACCTCCCCACAGGTCCTTACAAACAGGGAGGGTGTGTCTGGGCCAGAGGGTGGGCAGCCCATGGGAGGAGAGCAGCGTGCACAAAGCTGGGCGGCAGGGATCTCGGGGTGTGGGTGCAGGAGGAAGCCGCTCGCTCTGGGCTGTAGCCATGCAGTAGTATTCACCAGTCCCTCACTGGGGTGCACCCCGGTCCTCCCACAGGCCCAAATACAAAGGGAAATACTGTGTGGGTGAGCGGAAGTGCTTCCGCCTCTGCAACCTACAGGCCTGCCCCGCTGGCCGCCCCTCCTTCCGCCACATCCAGTGCAGCCACTTTGACGCTACGCTTTACGAGGGCCAGCTGCACACATGGGTGCCCGTGGTCAACGACGGTGAGTGCTGCCTCCCTTGGAGACACTGAGGCTCAGAGGGCTGGGGGTGTGTAGGTCCAAGGTTACCCTGTGATGCAAGCAGGAGGCCCAGTCTCCACCCCAAGCCTGGGCCGCTCCCAATGTCCCCTGGGGCTGCTGCTCACCCATCACTAGCTCTCCAGTCTGCAGCCTTGCAGATAGCTACCAGCCCAGCCGGAGCCTCCAGCATGTTGGTGCTGCTTGGGAGCCTCTAGCCTGCTATGGATGTGTGTCACAGAGGGATCTTCTTGGTGGCCTCCACACTCCTGCCCCAGCTGTTGCTGATGGCTCTTCTACTTGGGCCCCCAGTGAACCCCTGCGAGCTGCACTGCCGGCCCTCGAATGAGTACTTTGCCGAGAAGCTGCGGGACGCAGTGGTCGATGGCACCCCCTGCTACCAGGTCCGGGCCAGCAGGGACCTCTGCATCAACGGCATCTGCAAGGTTTGCCTGGTTAGAAGAGGCTCTCCCAGCACCGGCTGCCCCCAGCCCCACTGGTGGGCCTCAGGCTGTCTCCTGGGTCCCTCCTGGTCCTCCTCAGGCCACCCTCCTCATGCTCTACCTTTGGGCTTCCCAGCCCCTACCCTCTATGACCTCTAAGGCAAAGCCCCTACTATGCCTCCTGGCACTGGGGACCCCTCCCAGTCAGGCCTCGCCCCCTGCATCTCCTTGGATGCCTGCACCAGCACCGCCCCAGCCAGGAAACCAAAGCCCAGGCAGTGACTTGACCTCTTGCTGGCTGGCTGACCCCAGGCAGTGGTTTGCTCCCTGACAGAAGGGGTTAAATTAGGTGGCACAGGTGACATGAAGGGCTCTGAGCCCCGAAGAATAGTGCTCAGTATTTGGTAACAATTTCTATTCTTATTTTTAATAACAACAATGGCCTCTCCTCTTTGCCTATGTCCCCAGCCACCTACTTGTCCCTGCTTCTTGGCTTCTAAGCCTCTGGGGTATCAAGGCCTGGGCTCCGAGGAGGACCAGCAGGGAGGTGCCAACCCCCAGTGCCTTTGACGTTGAAATTCCCTGCACGCGCTGGTCAGGAGCCCGTGGCGCGTCAGATCCCCTGCCTGCCCGTGGCCTTTGCAGAACTCTTTCCTTCTCTTGTCTCATGTGATGCTCACGACATGCCTTTAAGCGAGGGATGGGTCTCCCCATCTCACATCTGAGGAAACTGAGGCTCAGGGAGGTAGAGAAGTTCACCTGGGTCAGAGGCACAGCTGGGGTGGGGCAGGGCCAGAGAGAGGCCTCCTGACCCCCACTCCCAGCTTTCTCCTCCTGACCCTGGCTGGCCCCTGGGGCTGGGGCCACAGAGGGCTGGACGCCAGCACCAGGAGCCTCCCCTCCTTGTGTGTTGCAGAACGTGGGCTGTGACTTTGAGATTGACTCCGGTGCTATGGAGGATCGCTGTGGTGTGTGCCACGGCAATGGCTCCACCTGCCACACCGTGAGCGGGACCTTCGAGGAGGCCGAGGGCCTGGGTATGGGGTGGGACTGCTGTGGGGGAGGGGTGTGCTCTTCACCTGGTGACCCCTTCCCCATCTCCCCTGGGCCCCTGTCCTTGGCCTTGTGGTCCCCACCCAGCCTGGAGATGGCTAAGCAGGGAAGCCTTGCTGGGGTGGAATTCTTGCAGGAGTCAGGGGACCCCTGGCCCACGTGCAGAGACATGTCCCCATGGGGAGTCCTCCTGTCCCAGAGACCCCAGGCAGGGCCAACCCGGCTTGTGTGTGGCCCCTGGGCCTTTCAAAGAATGGCAGTCTCCTCCTGAAGCTTCTGAGACCCCCAGCTCCGGGCCCTCACCTCCGGTCTGTTTTGCACACGTTGCTCAAATACTGGCTGTGTGCTAGGTGATGGGGACATGCAGGCAAAGCGCTCAGTCCTGCAGGGGCAGAAGCTTCTGGTGTGACCAGTGCAGTGGAGGGAGGCCCAGAGGACTCTGGGAGCACCGAGGAAGAAGGTCCTGGCCTGGGGAAGTCAGGGAAGGTTTCCTGTAGGAGGTGGAAGTTGAGCTGAATCATAAAGCTCAGAAGTGATGAAAGTGGTCTTCCAAATGGAGGAAGAGCTTGTGCCAGAGCCTGGAGGCAAGAAGAGAAGGCAGGACCAGCTATGGGGCCTTGAATGCCAGGCTGAGCAGCTTAGATTTCATCCCAGTGCAATGTGGTGGATAAAGCACTGGCCCTGGAGGCTGCTCATATCCCAGCAGGACGCTCATGCACGTTACCATCCCTGTCTGCCTCTCTGCTCATCTGTAAAATGGGGATAACAATAGTACCTAGGCTATCGGGCCGTTACCCATGAGCTTACACAAGTGCTGAGAGTAGTGCCTGGCACGTGATGGGTGTGACAGAAGTGAATGAATACAAGCAGGCTGTGTGGGGATGAGGAGGGTGTCCCAGGAGAAAGGCCTGGGCACTTTGTTTTTTTTAGAAAGAGAATTAGTGTAGGGGATGGATACAGCCTTATGATGAGACCAGTTTAGGTCCTCAAGAGGGGGTGACAGGGCATGGCCACGGGGTCAGGATTTGTGGCACCTCTGTGAGGTTTTGGTGACCCACGACACATCTGAGCAATTTTGGGAGCTCAGACTTTAAAGCTAATGGCGAAATCTTTGGCATCAGCAGGCGGAGGCAAGCGGGGAGAGACGTGAGGGAAGCGGGTGGGGATAAGCAACCTTCTCACCCTGGGCACAACCTACCCACAACCCTTGGCTGACAGGGTATGTGGATGTGGGGCTGATCCCAGCCGGCGCACGCGAGATCCGCATCCAGGAGGTGGCCGAGGCTGCCAACTTCCTGGCACTGCGGAGCGAGGACCCAGAGAAGTACTTCCTCAATGGTGGCTGGACCATCCAGTGGAACGGGGACTACCAGGTGGCAGGGACCACCTTCACATATGCACGCAGGGGCAACTGGGAGAACCTCACGTCCCCGGGTCCCACCAACGAGCCTGTCTGGATCCAGGTGCCTGCCTCCCGAGGCCCAGGGTGGGGGAGCGGAGGCGCAGTCCCCAGGCTCAGCACCCCTCATGGCAGGTCTCGTCCTGGAGGAGTGAGCCCTGGGTCAGTCACAGAGCCTGGCTCTGAGCCAGGCCCTCCTGCTGTGGCCTCTACCTTGGTTTCCCTATCTTTAAAATGGCCTGATGGTGTAGCTGCAGTTCACAGAGGTGGCTGGGGTTGGCTCCTTTAGGACTGGGTGGATGGAGAAGACACCTCGTGCTCACGGGCTCCTGCCTGCCCACCCAGCTGCTGTTCCAGGAGAGCAACCCCGGGGTGCGCTATGAGTACACCATCCACAGGGAGGCAGGCGGCCATGGTGAGGTCCCGCCACCCGAGTTCTCCTGGCACTATGGGCCCTGGACCAAGTGCACAGTCACCTGCGGCAGAGGTGAGAAGTGGGGCAGGCACAGCCCCGGCGGCAGGGGCTTCATCTCTGGACAGGGACGCTGGCTTCAGCTTCCAGCTCACTGCTGGGCCACCATGGGTTTGGAAGTTGGCTTCTCTGAGCCTCAGTTCCCCATCTGTGAGATGAGGCTGGCAACCGCCCCATGTCCCAGGCGCACTGGGAGGGGAAATGGATGAGGCAGGTGGGTGCTGGCTCGCGGCG